CATTGGTAGATCAGGTCCCCGTGCCCCCCCACCGGCCGCTACAACTTCTGCCAACGCACGAAGTTTTTCCCCCCATTTACGCTCACCTGTTGTACCTCTGGTATCTCCTGGCGATCTCATTCTCATAGGCCTGTCCCTAAAACCACACAGAGCCAATGGCGTGGCAACCATCTTATTGCATAGACCTATCACACAGACGAGCGCTTTCCTGTTATTTGCATAGCCTCCCCCGCCCAAAATCAACACGCTTAGCCCTTGTTGCTGGAGCTTTAGATGTTCCCACTGCAAACCCTCCCCCCTCCACTTTAAATGAATTACCTGGAATGTTAGCCACGTTAGATCGAAAGATTCTCCCACGCCAGGGGAGACTTATGCAAATCAGTTCGCTCTTTCATTGGCCGGATTTTCTCCGTCCATGCAAATTAGGAGAATGCCGCCGTTGTGCTTCCAGCACTGTGTGTGTGTGTGAGAGTGATGCCTAGAATCTTTCCCATTGGCCAGCTGTTACCTGGGCATGCAAATGAGGATCCAAGTGGATATAACCGGACGGCAAGTTGTAACCCAGCCCAGGCAGCGGGATGGCTTTCTCGTATGCTCGGCCGCGCAGCGGCTCTTTGTCCGCGGGCTCCGCGCGCCTTCTCCCGGGTTCGGCCTCGGGCTCCGTGCGGGGCAGTTCCAGCGGTTCCGACTCCTGGTTCTCGCTGCCTCGCCTGCAGGCCGCGCTCCCGGCTTCTCGCGCCAGCCTGGATTCTGCGGTCATCTTGGTGGGACCCGGGCGGCAGCAGGAGGCGCTGCAGAGCTTGAACGAGCGCCTGGCCGGCTACCTGCAGCGGGTGCGGGGGCTGGAAGCCGCCAACCGAGCCCTCGAAGAGGAGATCGCCGCCATCCGGGCCCGCAGAGCCGGGGCAGCCGGCCATAAAGACTGGGAAACCTACGAGCGGCCCCTAGCCGAGCTGCGCAAGCAGGTGAGGGGCGCAGGGGACAGGCCAAAAAAGCCCCGCAGGAAGCTTCCCCTGAGCCGAACCGTTGGCCCCCTTAGCCCACTATAGCTGACTGCGGGAAAACGGCAAAAAAACACAAAAGCATTGTGGGACGTTTAAAACTAATACCTTTATTTTAGTGTGAGCATCTGGGGATTACCGAGCACCCAATCCAGAAGGAGTGGGTTGTAATCCAAGAGAACTCAGGCTGAGGTGCTACAGCAATTTTACCGTGTTACTGAGGACCTGGTCACACAGCAAAAAAACAAAACATAACAAAACCAAACCCTGGGATTTGAGCTGTGTTAAATAACATGCTGAGTTTCACGTTCACACAATGAAGTTAAAATTGTGTATTTATTTTCCTCTGACTCGTAATATTTTCTTAGGAAGCGAGTTAAAATAAATAACCACCAGAGGGCCGTTTATTTTAGCCCGCTGCCGTCTTAAACAACTTAAACCCAGTGTGAACTGTAGAGTCCCGAGCATTTCAATTACTTAGGAATGCAGGGAAGTACTCGAGAATCCCATGGCTTGAGGTGGCCAAAATTAAAACGCTACATAGTTTTGTTGTTTGTTTGTTTTTTGAGAAATATAGACTGGCTCTGAAACAGTCTTAACACTTTTATTCCTCTGAAAACTCCAAATGGTAGCAGCAGCTTCTGGGGTTTTTGGCAAGATTCTCTTCTGGCTCCATCTGGGGATCCCTGGTATACCCTTGTGCAAGTACTGACCGTATTGATAGAGTGAGGGACTAGGAGTGCAACCCCATGAGATTTGCTGTTTGAGCTGCTGCAGGGATGGGCAGATGCACTCTTAAAAAGGATGATCAGATAATGTCTTTGCTGGAGTGAACCAGTCCACCCCCGGAGCAGTCCTACCTGCACCTTTTTGGCCCTTGTTGGCTTCAACTTTTTTGGTTTTGGTAGGATCCTTCCCTTTTGATTCATCTTCATTTGCCAACATTATGAAGTGGCTAAGGTGGCGACTACATGGTCAAAGGCCACGGATTTGCTTTGATTCTAAAGAGGACAAATGACCTTTGCTGGAGTGAACCAGTCCACCCCCAGAGCAGTCCTACCTGCACCTTTTTGGCCCTTGTTGGCTTCAACTTTTTTGGTTTTGGTAGGATCCTTCCCTTTTGATTCATCTTCATTTGCCAACATTATGAAGTGGCTAAGGTGGCGACTACATGGTCAAAGGCCACGGATTTGCTTTGATTCTAAAGAGGACAAATGAAATTAAAGTGTTTCTTACCAACCACATAATGCAAAGACTGATTTGAATGGATTCAATCCTTTTGGCTCCCAAAGTTGCTTTTTTCCTGTGCTAATGTGGGGGCTTCTCCTTTTTCACTCTGTAATGATTCAAACAGATTTTTCCCCTATGTGGTTAGTTGGGATTCCTTCTTGTAAAGATGGGGAGCATGTCTGTAGGTGGTGTTTCGGTGGTGCTGGCAGTTAGGGTGTGATGTTCAGGACTGGTGGAACACACCCGTGCATTTTTTTCTTCTGCCTCAACCATCCCGATCGACTAGATAGGCGGGGATATAAAATAAATAAATAAATAAATAAATTACATGCGGTTAGCTCTAGATCACCATATCACCATGTCATTGCTATTATTTCCCCCCATATTTACACCTTTGTCAGTTCCTTGTAAGATCAGCAGAGGCAGAGCCAGAGAAAGGATCAGCAGAGGTGGGACCAGAAGAAGGAAGGAAAAAATGGGAGACTGTAGGCTGCGATGCAAGTTGCATCACATCTATGTGGACTCCCAATCAGTCTGCAGCCCCTCTGTGAGCACTGACTGTGGTTTCAGACATAATACAGACTGTGCAGTTCCTGGACCACCTAGCAACCCAATTAGCCACTCCAGCCTGCTCCAAAATGGATATGTAGAGAAACCCTAGGACTCAGGAGACCTAGGTTTGAATCCCTACTCAGCTATGGAAACTCACTGGGGATGTGGAACTGGTAAATATCTCACCTTGAATGGTCATAATAAATCAGTTCCAACTTGATGGCCCATAACAACAGAAAAGTACGGATCAAGCCTCACTTCTGCAATCAAATGACCGGACGCCTTTGCTGGAGTGAGAGTGGGTCAGAAGTGAGAAAGATGAGAGAGCTGAGTGAAACCCCAGGACAAGTTTGGTAGCGGTGCTGATGTGCTGTCAAGTTACCCATTGAATGAATGGCTCCCAAATGTTAACCGGAGGTTGGTAAAGAGCTAGAAGAGGTGTCAGTGGTGCATAAAAGAAGGATGCTGATAAGGAGAAGGGCATAGTGGGTGGATACATATTCACTGCAGATGTGTCCACAGAGCAGACCGGTACAGAAGATTATGTCATATCAGCCAGTTGATGAGTGATGATTAACAGATATGTGCAAGAAAGGTGAAGTGGAAGAAGCCAGGGTGAGAGGATGAGGAGATGAGCTGTATGAGCTGACATTGAACTGACAAGGAACAGGATAGAGAGCTGATATTAAGGGGACCAGTCCTGGCTCTCATGTTATTTGCAATATGGAAATAACGTTTCCATTCTGCTGCCTCAAGTGGTCTTGGTTGTGACTCAGTCTGGTTGTGACCTCTCCCCTTCCACCCACCCCCGGGTTGACAAGGAAGAGAATGAAATATTAGGACAGCCTGGGGACAGGGTGCATTTCATTTTACATTTTCTCTTTGAAGAAATTAGACATTCAGCCTTCACTCATTCCATGGACATGTGAGACTCCAGTTGATCTCTGTGTTCTTGAAATATGGCCAGATGGTACGTGTTCTTGCACAGTGGAATATGAGTGAGAGATAAGATCATTTCCTCCTTCCTTGTGTCACTTGAACTGACATCTCCCCACTCCCAAAAAATCTGGACCAACATTGCAACAACATTTTCTTTTCTGCGTTTCATATCCATTGCATGGTACAGACATTTTTTGAACCACAGTTCCTAGAATTCCACTACTGGGACCTACAGTCCAAAAATGTAACCTTTCCAAACTCTGCACCTTAGCTCTATGTAGAGGTGATTGTGCTGCGGTTCCTGATGCCACCCAGAAATGGATGAGATGCCAGTGTCTTTCCTGCCTCTCCAGCAAACAGGCAGGTCCCTTGCCAAGAATATCTGCCCCTCCCATACCTGTGAAACTTCTTGATGGGCTTGCTCTTGACAACTTTATCAACAGAACTTTGTTTGTTTTTAAAAACTACCCCTTTTTCCCATTATTCATTGTCTGAGAACAAACAATCTTCCTTTAGACTGCCTTCTTTTTCTTCCTTGTACAGTTTGTTTGCCTATCTAAACAGTGAGCAGGGGAGACGAAGCCACTCCCTGAATCTGAGGCTGAAATAACCACATTGGGAAAATGATATAATTCATCCAACAAATACATTATGATTGCATTAGTCACATTGTCAAGCTGCAAATTCAGGTGTAGGACCACACATATTCTCTACCCCTGTTCCCTCTCTTACACAGGAAGCAGGCAATTGCTCATCCTTACAGGTGTTGTGTCCGTTATTTTATTTAGTTGTGTTTTGTTTGTTTGACTTCTATACTGCCCATCTGGCTGCCAAGGCCCCCTCTGGGCAGTTTACAACAATAACATATAGCAGTGGAAAAACAGTAAATATCAACAGTAAACAAAATAGCTGAAGAAAATAAAAACTCACATCAATAGATGTAGATAAACAACGTAAAATTAACTAAAATTTATTAAGGTAATTTAAAGGCAAGGTGGCAGAACTGATAATATGAACGCTGAGACAAACAACCACTGTGTTATGATGTTATAAGCTCCATGAAGGCCAGTCTGAAGAGCCATGTTTTCAATAACTGTTTGAAAACTCCTAGTGAAGGGGCCCGGCAAATTTCTGGCAGGAGATTATTCCAGAGAGTGACTGCCGAGAAGGCCTGGTTTTTGGTCTTTTCTTTCCAGGCCTCTCTCGGGGTCAACGTTCTCAGCCAGGGAAGATTGTGTGGGGTGGGTAGATCTCATTGGAAGGAGGCACTCTGCCAGGTCTCAAGGTCCCAAACCATTTAGGGCTTTGTCTGTCAGCATCATGTCAGTCCTCTTTTTCTTTTAAAAGGTACCATATTATTATCTAATTAATAATTAGATAATTAATAATTTACCTAAATATTGAACAATCTAGAGGCTCTAATCAAAGAATTGGTTGACTGTTACAGATCTCTCTGTATGAAATCAATCCCAATGGCTAGAGTATTTGTACTCTGCCGGTCGAGCAAATACACTACAGTAGTTTATTCCACTTTCCAACTACTGTGTCCCAAAGAGGCGGTTGGTTTGTACTCAGCCAGTTGGTGTGAGAGGTGTAGCAGCAACAAGTACCCTTAAATATAGAGTGCGAGCTCATCAACCTGATGAGGTCCGATAAATGCTCACTCTGGTCAGCACACAATAAACACTGAAGCTATTCTTCCTGGAATTTGTTTTGCTGTAACCAAACGCCCCCAATGGGACGTGGTAGCACTGTGGGTTAAACTGCAGAAGCCTCTGTGCTGCAAAATCAGAAGACCAGCAGTCGTAAGATCGAATCCACGCAAAGGAGTGAGCTTCCATGGCTTGTCCCTGCCAACCTAGCACTTCGAAAGCATGTAAAAATGCGAGTAGGTAAATAGGTACCACCTTGGTGGGAAGGTAATGGCGTTCTGTGTCTAGTCGTGCTCGCCACGTGACCATGGAAACTGTCTATGGACAAACGCTGGCTCTATGGCCTGGAGATGGGGATGAGCACCGCACCCTAGAGTCGGACACGACTGGACTAAATGTCAAGGGAAAACTTTACTTTACCCTTAACCAAATAGAGCGTAATCAAAAATGAGCTCAACAGCCATTACCAATCCGGACAAATATGCTCATTTGTTTTGCAAATACTTTTGGGTTATTCAATTCGTTGCAAATTAATGTTCCATTTCAAGGTTCAACCGGTTTCCACAGGAATTTAGAACAAAGGTTTGATTTGGGAGATATGCAATGGCAACGTCATGCCTTCTGAGAGCAAAGACCTTTTTTTATTCAGGTGGAACTTGGGCAAATGATCTTGCTTTCTGTGGGAAGGGGCCTTTTCAGTGGTGGAGCCCCTTTCCTCTTGACTCTTGACTACAATCTTGTTCTCCACACCCTTTTAGGGCAGGAAGCCTCACAGAATGGAGAGGGACTTCCTTCTGATTAGATATGTACAAAATAATATCATCAGACACTTTTCTCCTGACAATGTTGAAGCGGCAACTTTGAAGGCCAACGGGGTAATTAGTTTGGTGTGAACAGCAGTTGAACATGTGTCATTTAATCCTAAGAAAGAGGTGATGGCTGTTATCATTGGATCTGTTGGTGAGCATTTTGTCCCTAAGACTGGAAGAGTAGTGCCCTTAGGGCAGCAATTTGAGGCAGAGATTCTGGTTCCCCACTCCTTCTCAGCAGAAGGAGCAATAGGGTCTTGGAACACACCCAGCCTAACTTACCACATTTTGTTATTTCCATGATGTAATATACATTGCTCTCAAAAGAAAATATTCCTACAAAACTTTTTGAAGTTAGTGTTGAAAATTCTGATTCAAACTGTGAAGCCTGGGGGGAATTCTGTTTGGAGATCTCTTAGCAGGATAAACAGCAAGAGTGTTCCTGTTCACTTTTAAGTCTTACTGAAGACAATGTAAAATATATATTTGCATAGGGCCATAGCTTTTATGTGGCGGTAATGTGCAAATGTCTGTTTCCCTAATAGGTTGAAGATCTCAACATGGAGAACACCAGGCTGCTTCTGCAAATTGATAATGCCAGACTGGCAGCTGATGACTTCAAGCATAAGTAAGTAAGTTTTAATTTCATCACTCTTGGAAGCTACATGATAAAAGCAGACGTTTGAGAAGAGTGTATTACATATCCCCAGATGCTGAGATGTGAGGAAAAATCTCAAACCTGTCCTGGAGGAGGAGAAAGAATTCCTCTTCTGTATGCTAAGCAGACGACTTAAATATATAAACCAGGATGCCACTAAATTGTTGTTAGTTTACTGGTCCAAACTGAAATGTTCTTTTTTTCCTGTATACCCTTTTCAGTCTTCATTGGTGATCACACTTCTAGTATGTGTTACTTTTTTCAAGAGAAATTCTATTGCAATAGCAGTTTCTGAAATTCTGCATTGAATTTCATATCTGTCACCTAATTTGGATGGCATCAGTTTTCAGCAGTGATCGATTGATTCTGTTTTTAGTCTTCACACTTTTCTTATCACTTCTAGGTCATGAGGAGAGAAACTTGGTGCTACCTGAATGCTCCCCATGACCACTATTGATTTCCTTTTATTCCAGTATTTTTTTTACTGCATCTCACTTACTCTTATAAAATCAGATATATGTGGTTTAGAAAACCATCGTATATTTTCTTTGGGTTTGGCTTCCAGATGATCCTGGATTAATGCTTATAACTCCTGAACTCATCTGATAGGTTTTGGTTGAAAATGTTGTAAGAAAATATATTTCAGGATGAAATATCTATCACCAGGTTCAAAACACATCATGCATTCAGTGTGTGCCCCATGGCCTCCTGCTGGCATGCTCCTGTTCTCAGGAGGAACCTTTGGATTGTAAAAGCCTTCGGATCCACCTTGTGGCTTCCCAAATTAGTTCTCCTCTTCCTAATGTTGTATTTTTTTTAGCTTCAGAAAACAGGCCTCTTTAACACAGTGCCCTCCCCCCTTAGAAAGTAGGTTGGAATGATGAAAAGGTGAATGGGGCTTCTTTCCCAATCTAATTTCTGCACTGCAGCACTTGAGAAGATGAATGAGAAAAAGAGAAAAAAGCCTATAAAGGGAGAAGGAGTAGTAGGAGAAAGCAATATGGAAGTGGGAGAGATAGACAGGAGAAGCAAGAAAAGAGGCTGCCCCCTCCCCAAACATTAGTCCCCCATTTCTATCAGGTTTTGAAAGATTATTGAGCCACCTCCTGTTTTCCTAAGGAGTGGATGTTGCTGTTATTAGGCTTATGCTTTAGTGGCTTAGTGTGGACTGATCAGTGTTTTGCTTTTATTCTTGCTCTTGGTCTGCTTTTTCTGGAACACACAGTTCTGATTATGTTGTTTAGTGAATGTGAATGCTATGGCTTTGTAAGCCTGTTCACCTTCAACAAATTTGGAAGGACAATTAAGGAAAGATCATTTGTGTATTTTGAAAAAGAGACAGAGACGGACATCTGTGTTCATGCACTTGCCATTCTTAATGAGCAGTTTGCATGCAGTCATCACCTGAGCCCCCCGGAATAAAATGAGAATCAATCCTCATTATCTGTCAGTCTATAGACCAACAGAGGGAGAGGGGCATTATGTGGTTTCATTTCTTCTGCTCTTCCCATTTTCCAGGCTGGAAGCAGAGCAGGCGATGTGTGATGGCGTGCAAAAGGATACCCAAGGGTTGCGCAAAATGATAGATGACACCAACTTTCTACGTTTGAAACTGGAAGGGGACCTGGAATCTCTCAGAGAGGAACTGGCTCACTTGCGCAAAAGCCACAAAGAGGTAACAGGTGCTAGGCTTTGTTATTTTACTGTGTAGCACAGCAGCCTTGTGCTAAGCTTGTGATTGTTGGAGAGAAGTAAAAATTCTGGAGACGGGTCATAAAGCAAAAATGGGAATGTCCTGTTTCTGAAATGAACATCCTATGCTGCCCATTTTATATACAGTACAGGATGATCCCTTCAGCTTGCTTAGAGAAATCCTTAGAGCGGACTTCGATGTTTGGAACTCTGCTTTCCTAAATGAAATGGAGGAGTGAGAAGAAATACACCATGACATCAGAGAGAGAGAGAGAGAGAGAGAATCCCACCAATCTGCATATAGATTCAGAAAAACAAAGAGAGAGAAAACATATCGATTATCGTTATTTCTCTGATGACTGCTTCCTACTTTTACAGTTTTAGAAGAGGTAGTTGTGTTAATTGTGCAAGCATATCGGGCAAAATCCAAAGAAACAAAACAAAAACATGGGGCACTTTTACAGGTTCACATTGGCTGAAATCCAGTAGTAAGTTGGAACTAGAGGAGGCCCACTGAATCACTGGAACTTGCAGTGAACTCACCAGATCCCACTGATTCAGTGGAGCCTACTCTAGGTGTGATTTACTCTGATGATCAACACGATTTCAGCCTGTTATATATGTTACATGAGTGGTTCCCTATATCAGTCAGATCAGCAGAAGGAAAACATAGTGGTAATGTCCACATTGCTCCATTTTATTCTTTCTTTCTTAATAAACTTTGTTCGAGCACATGCACATCTATTTTCTGATGCAGGCTTTGGAATCTAGAACCTTGCATGCCATCATTAGGAAGACTTTCTCTAGATGTCATGGAGACAGGTTTTGGGAAAATGTGTAGGCATACGGGAAGGTGGGGGGGGTGTTTCATGTTCGCAAATGACCTTTTACCATTCCCATAGTACCTCATACTCCTCAGTCAGCTTGGGGATGAATGTTTTGCCCCAAACCTTTCTGTGGCCTGATCACCCCCAGAAGTGGCTGTTTTAGGCTTCTTTTTAAAAAAACAAAAAACAAAAGAGGAAGTGCTAGGATGTTCCATTTTTCTGTTTTGGGGTTAGGTGGATAGGGATACTTAGGGGATCACTCCAGAATCTCTGGTGCAAAAGCTGTGGCTCCTGGAGGCTACCGGTGGTGAAAGAAAGTTTTTTTTAAATTCCTATCCCCTTTCTTTAGAATTTTAAAAATGAGGGTAGCAAAAAAAAAATGCCCCTGGTGGACTGCATGTTGCTTATCATCCTTTTTAGTAGCCCAATCCCCTGCCTGGAAACTTCTCATTTTGAAAAGACAGAATACAAAGTATATGACATGATTTTAATGTGTATGCAAAACCAGGATTTCTCAGCCGTTCTGAGAGTGAGTTGCAAACAACGCAGGATGATTCTGTGGAGGCAACCATCTGTGCTCTACAACAGTGGCTCACAACTTTGGGTCCTCAGAGATTCTTGGAGGACAACTGCCAGAACTCCTGGCCAACACAGCTATTGGTGAAGTCTTTGGGAAGTTTTAGTCCAAGGTAATCTGGGGACCCAAGGTTGGGAACTACTGCTTGTCACGTCCACCCAGTGTCCTTTGTTTATTTTCCCTAAACACAAGCCCACCCTCTGGATGCGTTTCCTCACTTCACGCTGCCACCAGGTATTATTCCCTCAATACCAAATAGATAGATCTTAGACATGTGCTGCCAATTCAACAGATTTATTGATCTTATCGTTGTTATGCAAACCACAGGAGTAAATCACAGATGTTTAGGATTTATTGTTATGCAAACCACAGGAGTAAGTCACAGATGTTTAGGATTATTCATTAAATATCATTTGCTTTCACATTGCTTTGTATGTGTATTTATCCACTTTTACAAGATTCTTTGACTACCTATTTATTCTCTATACTTTTGAAATCTTTCCTATTCTCTCTAGCATTCCAAATTTCCAATCTCTGTCTTAACCTTCTCAGTTCAATCTTCTAACTCACTCTCTTCAATTCCCTATCTCCAACCTCTTTTCTCCAACTCTTCTCTCTAACTAACTGTCCTTTTGGTTCCGCCCCTCCTGTCCTCTCATAGGCTCATGCCCTTGAGCTCAACATGATGGACAGACATGACATGGGGGTTCCACCACACTGCTCTGGAAACCTAAACTGACAATACAGTTGCCAGGTGTTTCAGGAGTGGTCCATCCTGTTCAGCTGTTCCAGAACGTTCAGCTAATAAGTATTTGTCAACAAGAAAAACAAACACATAGTGATGCCCCATGCATAGTATCACATCATTAACATGCACGGCATATTTACAAAATAGAAGAGAATAGCTCCTGGCTCCAAAGTGCTCTCAGTTTAAAAGTAGGAGAGGAGAGGACAGAGATGGAAGGGTAAACTTTAAAAAAGCACAGGCCTATCTTCCCATTCAGACAAAGTCTAGGATACAATCCCAATTTTGGTGAAATTAAGCAAGTATGAGATCCCTCCAGACAGAAAGCTCCAAGGGTTAGCAGTTGAAGGCTAGGTGCAGCTATTCCATGTAGTCATACATATTTAGGTTTAGTTACAGTGGTGGATGGTAGTTAAGGAATTACAGTGGTGCCTCGCATTACGAGTGCTCTGTTTTATGACGAAATCGCTTTACGTTGAATGTTTAGCGAAGGATGTTTCCTATGGGGGAATTTTGCTTAAATCGCTTTATGTTGAATGTTTAGCGATCGCAAAAGCGATCGCAAAATGATGTTTCCTATGGGGGAATTTTGCTTTGCGATGATCTGTTCCCTGCTTCGGGAACTGATTCTCTCAAAGCGATGATTTTCAGCCTGCTGATCGGCGGTTTCAAAATGGCCGCCGGGTAAAAAACATGGCTCCCCGCTGTTTTCTGGGATGGATTCCTCGTATGTTGAATGTTTAGCGATCGCAAAAGCGATCGCAAAATGATGTTTCCTATGGGGGAATTTTGCTTTGCGATGATCTGTTCCCTGCTTCGGGAACTGATTCTCTCAAAGCGATGATTTTCAGCCTGCTGATCGGCGGTTTCAAAATGGCCGCCGGGTAAAAAACATGGCTCCCCGCTGTTTTCTGGGATGGATTCCTCGCTGCACAGGCAGCGAAAATGGCTGCGCTATGGAGGATCTTCGCTGGACAGTAAGTTTCAAGCTCCTAGGAATGCATTCATCGGATTTTAATGCGTTTCTATGGGCTTTTTAATTTCGCATTACGACATTTTCATTCTACAGCAATTTCGCTGGAACGAATTAACGTCGTAATGCGAGGCACCACTGTATGCCAAAGCTTCTAAGCAAAGCCGACAACGTAACAGGTGAGGTCTTCTTTTTCTGTTCCCTACAGGAAGTGGAGGCTCTCAATGCTCTGATTGCCAATTCTGATGTAACGGTACAGGTGGACAATCCACAGAAGCACGACCTAAGTGAGATAATTGCTGAGATCCGCAACCAGTATGAGAAAGTGGCTGATCAGAACCGGGCAGATGCTGAGAACTGGTTCAAAACCAAGGTGAGAAAAGGAGAAGGAAAACCTTCAAGGGGGAGTAGAGAGAGAGAGAGTGGGTGTGGATTTTTCACTCCTCTAAACTCTGCAGTGTCATCTCTGTGTTATCTTCCCTCGTCCTTACAGTTTGACTCCATGTCTCAGGAAGCCGATGTGAACACCCAAGCACTGGAAGAAGCCAAGCAGGAGCTGTCAGAACTCCGTCGGCAGCTACAAGGCCTGGACATTGAACGCCAGAGTCTCCAGAAAATGGTAAGAGGATCACACATTTTCCCTTCCCAGATCTAACTAACAGACCATGGGTGGTATTGAGGAGTTTTTTTTAAAGGCTAAAACTTGTATTGACAGGAGAGAGCTCTTCTTCTTAAGAGTACTAATATTTTACTGAACATTAAGCAATGTTTAATGTTCTCCAAACAAGTCATAAGTCATGTTTATGCAAAACAGATCTGACCTTGCTGAGAAAACTCATGGAAGAACTCGCAGTGCAGGCCTTACTATATACAGACAGAGCAAGGGTCGCTGTGTTCCCCCCAACATGGTGGGGAACCACAAGGCACAGCAGCAAGAGCAACAACTAGTACTACATATAACAAGTGTCAGCTTTACTCTGAGACAGTGTGAGTTTTTTTGTCTCCAGTGATGGATTATGATGATGGGGTGGTAAGAGGCACTGAGATATTAGAGGACAGCTATGTGCATGTTTTCTGGCCTGCCCAGCATCCCATAAAGTCATCTGTTGCCCTCAGGTGTGGTGGAATGTGTTGTTTCACTGCAGTCTTTGAGTAAGATTCATTTAAAGGGTTTGGTCAGCTTCTGTATGTGGGATGGTTGGGTGTTATCTTAGCCTTCAATCTAGGTAGAAAAATGTCTCTAGCCAGGTTTGATTTTAAAAAAGCTTATGTTCCTGTGCCTTGCTGCAATTATAAATAAACGATGCTTTCTTTTGTGAAGCAGAGAACCTCCTGCCCTTTTCTGCATCTGCTTGCACCTTTGGATGTCATTGCTTGGCACTGCTGTCTGTTTTAATGTGATTTAATCCTCAGATGTCATGGGGAAATGTGGAGGGAGAATACTTAAAATATCTTTCATAATGGCTAGAAAACATAGACCTTACACCAGATATAACAGGGATCCACAGAGTTACTTACATTTTTTTGCAGGAGGTCTGTTCTACAGCCATGAAACACTTGGCATTTTCCCATTTGAACGTCTTTCCTGTCATAAAACAATATTGTGGTATATTTTGTGTTATCATCTAAACTTGGCTGTACCTAAGACAGGAGTGCCTCTGTCTTACCTCAGAAGAATCTAAAACTTGGGGAGGGGGGAGTGCAAAAATTCCTCTCTGGGCATGGCCAATTCTGCCATGTTCTGAGGGGCTCCCACCCACTTTTAAAAACAGGTCATTTAGAGGGTACAGTGGGCATTTCCAGGTTTTTTTTTGGGGGGGAAGAACACATTTTAAAAGAAAACATCATTTTGGACTGGGGTCAGAGGAACAGCTCTCCAAGGTTCACAGGCTGGCACTGCAGTTCTCAAACCACTGGAGTTTTCCCACCTTGACTTAAGGAAACTAATTTTATGGGGCTATGTATTTTAGTTATATGCCTGAAACTGTGCACGAACCTAGTTCAAGGTGTAAGAACTTAAAAAGAAACCTTGATTCAGCCTTGCTTTCAGTGATGCTTGAAATGTGGCAATGTCCACTGCATCTCTTTGTAAATCAAGTATGGGCAAAGTGGTTGGACTGCAATTCCCACGACCCTCGTAAGAATACAGTGGACCCTTGACTTACAGACGGCTTGACTTACAGACTTTTTGAGTTACAGACTTCTCTGGCCGCAAAATTTAGGTTTGACTTGCAGACTGAGATGGCAATTCCCATGACCCTAGTAAGAATATCTGATGGTGAGGAATGCTGGAAGTTGCAGTCCAACATTATACAGAAGGCCACATCATGCATACCTTGGCTGCAGATGAATGTCTTTTTATATAGAGCAAAATCTATAAACATAGAATGCATACAGGAGATAGTGGTCTGTTGCATAAGTTATAGTAACACATTTTGTTCATGGCATAAATGCTAATCATTTTGGGATAACAGGTAGACACTCTGGAGCGTACCTTGAAGAACACAGAAGATCAATATCACAATGAGATGTCCCATCTTAACAATATCATTATCAAGTTGCAAGATGATCTGGCAGCTTGCCGGGCTGACCTGGAGAGGCAGGCCCGAGACTACGAAGCCCTTCTGGATCTGAAGACCAAGCTAGAGAATGAGATTGAACACTATCGTAGCTTGATTGAAGGTGCAACAGACAGGTAATAAGTGGCAGAGCCTTCTGTTTCCACAGAAGCCTGTTTTGGAGGGGTTGAATGTCCTAGGTATCTTTCACTTGGGAGACCAAACAGCCTTCGTTCAGCAGGAAGCTCCTGCCATGCTTGGTTCTCTGATGAGCTTTTTCCTGTGTATAGTTTCTTTCCTCCCATTTTGGTTCTCTCTCTTCATGGCAAACATATCAAAAATGCTCCAGTTGATCAGTTTTCTTTTACACATGCACTAGAAAATGGTTTTACTAACTAAAATCTAGTAGCAAATCAGCAAGTAGACTAGGCTCATTGAATCAGTGGGGATTAGATGAGTCAACACCTATGTTAATTCTTACTGATTCAATGAGCCTGCTCTAGTTGTGAATTACTACCGGATTTCAACTGTTGTTTCTCCTTGGGTCACTGTATGTTTGAAAACTCTTACCCAGGATTTGATAATACAGTCAAGACTTTACTCGTGCATAGTGCTGCAGCTGAGCAACTTGTTCCTGACTAGTAGATTCTCAGGATGGAAGCAAGCAACCTTGCATCATGATGATTCTGCTGGTCAGGCAATTGGCTTGTACAAAAGAGTTTTCAGAATGGACAGTGGGAAGGATCTTACAGGTTACAGAATAGCAAAGAAGTTTCCATCTGGTTTAATTCCTAGCAGTTTAACAGTCAGAGAGACAAAGATGGTGTCCAATGAAATTCTACTTCCAAAACAAGTATAAGTTACAGGAGAACATAAATCCAACTTTGGCAGTCTTGTTTTATCAAGCTAGGAGCGCTGAAGGTCTGTGATAACCCCATTACTTTTCATGGCTTGAGAAATAATGAGACTTTTGGACAGTGTCTTGCCATGACAGACCCAACAGCAGCTGGTGTACAATACGGAACAGGTGTAAACAAATTGTACAAGGAAGCTCATCTGGTAAACAAATTGCCAAGGGCAGTGCACACAAAACACCTGCCACTTTTTGTATTTCAGAGGACAGTTGATGAGCTCAGGCAAAGCAGGTAAGTTCTGATGTTACAGTTGTGACATTAGTTAGTGCAGAGCTCCCCTGCCTTATCTGCAACCGCTTGCCTGCAAACTGCTTGCCCAGCTCCCACTTTGAAACAGATGCTCCCAGGCTTTGTCGCTGCTGTTCCTGCCAAGAGGCTCCATTTGAAAGAGGCTTGACTAGAAGACTGTTGAATTGAGCCCTTGTTGACATCCCATGCTTGTGGGAAGTGACTGTTATACACAGGGATGACATGAACAGCTAAGGTTGTAATAAAGCAAAGCTATTATAGTAAGTTACTATGTAAAGTGAAAGCTTAGCTGTTTTTTCTTAGCAACAAATGGCAGCTACAGCTTGAGGAGGAGGTTGCACTGCTGCCCTTATGACACAGCATGCTTCTTGGGGAGTCAACCACAACAGACAACCTTGTGTCTTTTTAAAAAAATGAAGCACATGTTTGGAGATTATTGTTTAAAAGGCAAGGCTTTCAGTGGGAAAGAAATGATGGTCAAAGAGTTAAGCCCATCTCCTCTTGCAGTAACCCTTCAATTTGCAGCAGAATTACATTTTAAAAAAATCTATTGGAGGTCACCTTCCTCATCATGTACATAGAATTTGCAGTCAGGCTTTGCATTTGAACACTGGCCAGATTTAATGTGCTTCTTTTGGACAAGACTCTTAGTACACAATTGTCATGCTCATTCACAGAATTTTGCTGGGTGTCCTGAAGATGCTAGTTTCCATTTGCAACCCTCACGTTTTCTCACAGTTATTATTATTTTTTTTTGCAAGAAATAATCAGTTGGGGAAAAATGCAGTAGCTGCATAGGGTCTTGGACAGATAGTGCCTGGAGCTTTCTGCCTGGAGAGACCTCAGGCTTGTTTAGCTTCATGAAAATGGAGACTGTGCCTGAAATTCTATATGAATGGGAAGGTAGGCCTAGGCTTCACACTTGATCTCCTTCTGTGGTCCTGTTACCTGCTCTGTATGACTAGCCGTCCTATTGTTCTTGCCTGCTCTGTATGTGAAGAGAGGGATACACTACAATTAAGAATCTTTGTTCAGAAAACCATCTTCCATTTATACTACTGCACTGAAGTTGCAAATTAAAAGGTTTCTGCAGGAAGAGGATTAACTCTTCCACTACTACATGTTTTTTTCCCCCTGCTTGGAAAAGGTGGACGAGGAATTTGATTCCCCACCATGCTTCCTGGAAGAAGAGCCATTCTGTTTAACTTTGGGCAAATGGCACGGTCCCACAGCACCCCTAATTGGGAGTGGTGAACCACTGCCGAGTACCCTACCTACAAAACCTCAGAAAAGTAATCACAAGTCTGAACTGACTTGATAGCATGGAATTAAGGAAAAGATAAGTACACAGCATTTCTCCTCATCCTTGTGGTTGAAAACAGCTGAGGAGCAATAATGAACAGGAAAATAGTAGCAGAAAGTGCAAGCCAAACTAATGCATATCTAACATTATAAACACTTTAAATCATCATTGCGAAACAGATTTCATTTTAATTAAAATACAGTGCAGTTCTGTCCTGAATCAGCACTGTATTTAGAACGCATGAAGCTTATTTTGGGGCTGTTTGCAAATTGCATGTATTTTTGTTTGGTCCTGCTAAAAACCTGGAACCCAACAACTTCCTGCTGCTGCTTTTTATGCATCTGATCTTGGGGTGGGTGAGAAGTTTGTTGGGTTCACATTTTAATGTCTCATTAGGACATTGAAACCAAATGCAAATTTGAATGTGATTTGCAGTTGGAAAGCCATATATTTCAGTGATGTTTTGCAAAACAAATGTATCTCCAAATGTATACATTTCAAAAACACAATGAACACTTGAAGGTATAAACATGCAAAAAGGCATGTTTTGAAAATTGTGGATGAAACCACCTGTGAATTTCTGTGCAAATGTGCAAAGAAGTGTCACAACCAAATATACAAGCTGGATACCATAAACCTAACAAGAGAAATTGAGAAACCCAGCAAAACTGGCCTTGGCAGATTTTACCCACCTTAATTGGATCTAACCTCTATAATCCAACCTTGCTTTCACTCTCTAACCACATGCTGTTTGTCTCTCACTTGCAGACACCAGGAGGCAGACCATTAAGAAGGTGGTAGTCACCACGCAGGAAATCATTGATGGGCGAGTGGTGGCACAGAAATCTGAGGAAGTGATTCAGTAGCCTTTTTCAATGTGTGGTGATTTTTACTAATCCCTGTATCAATAATATGACTGTTCTAATAAAAACAGTATTTACCTGTTCCAGCCATATTGTCATATTTGCACAACTTAGTCAGATTCAGCATTTAAAAGGTAACACCAAATACCAAGACCAAAATGTGGATTACATCTGTAGCATGAGAATGACCAAATGCTTCATCCAGACACCATAGCAAGAGCCAGGAAAAATAGGAATTGTGTTGCAGCAAAATTTGGAGACTTGTGTTCCCCACCTTTAGTGATACAGCATTGAACATCCAGAACACATTCTAGTGCTTTTTCCCCTTTACTCTCCCACCACCATTTTTAAAATAAAGATTTTGTACAGTTCATTAGTAACAGTGAATGGAGGCAAATACACTATTGGGCAAGCACAGCAGTTTCAGAGTTATCTTGGCCAAGGATAATTTAAATAGAACCCCAATTAACTGTTCTCTATCTGCTAAAAGATTGATGTTTTCCAGATTATCCCTATGTGTGAGAATGTATATACGTTTATAAATTTTTTTTAAAAGGAATAAAATAAAATGTACATAATAATGAAAATCAATGTTACACATTTCTTTTGGGGGTGTAGGTTAACTCAAAACTAAAACTGATTAATATTTCTTTCACTTTCAAGCAAAGACAGAACATTTTTGGGGGAGTTTGGATCACCATAACTCTTTTGAGTCTCTGATAATATCACACTAACTTTCCAGTTACATCATTTGTACCATAAGTGTATGTTGTGGATTTACTGGGAATGCAGGCATGCTGAGTATTCCCATGGGAACTGAGGCTAAAAGAGAGTGGCTGATCTAGGTTCAGAAAGTGAGCTTCATGGCTGATTGGGGATATGACATTCTGACCTTTGTAATGAGAGTTCTAATATCTCTGGACTGCTGGAACATTGGTTTCTTTTTTTCCAGATGCTCCACATCATCATACTCTAAAATTTCCTCTTCTGCTGTGAAGATGAGGCTGTCAAACATTGAAAAGGCTCTGCAAATCTATCTGGGCAGTCTGCACACATTCTTTATCTTTATAACCAATTCTCAATTTGGTATAAGCATAAATCCATGAAACACATCTAAAAATGATACCCACGAATCGTGAGTGGTAAGATAGAAAGATTTCCTTTATTAATGAACCCCAACAATATTTCTTCAGGTACAGGAGTTGTGAACTCAAAATACTTGGAAGAAAAACAAGTTAATATTGCATTATTCTCCAAAGAAATACTGCAACTCATTACCGGTAAACATACTGCAAAGCAAAACAGCTTGAAAAGGGGAAGAAGGGAAAAGGAAAGAAAGTAAAGTTGATCAAAATGGAATTAAGGTTTTTTGTTTGTCTGAACTATTAAGTCCTTGCAAGCACAGCTCGATTCCGCAGATCACTTCCCAAACGTGTGTAGAAAACATAACCCGATTGGATTTATTTCCTCAACAGCCCAGAGAGGTGCAACGTTAAAAAGCTACGATTATCAGGTAGCAAGTGCTCCAGCCTTCTGCCCCTTGTCCGGATCTGCCCCACCTCAGGCATTAACGGGATGCAAAGGTCTTCCCCCTAGCAAAAATTCAAAAGGCAGATATTAGGCAGCTTCTGGCCACGTAACTACAGCTTACAACACACAGATTTCCAAGCTCTACTACATGCTTGTTACCAAAGTATCCCAGGCATCCCATTACCAATTGGCCCTACTGTTATTGCGAACAATCCTAATCCTAGGCCTGAGAATGAAGTACAGTGGCGCCTCGCTTAACGAGTGCCTCGTTTAGCGATGAATTCGCATAACGATGTGTTTTTAAAGAAAATAATATGCACCGTATACCGATGTTTCCTATGGGCGATTTTCGCTTAGCGAAGTTTGGGACCATGCTTCGCATAACGAATGCGATTTTAGGTCCCCTGCTTCACTTAACAATGTTTCTTTTTTCAATTTAAAAAGTGTCTTAGAAGGGTCAAAAATGGTTCTAAATGCTTGGATTCGTTAGAGGACCCCCTAAGTCGTGTGCAAACCTGATTTGGCTTTGATCTGACTTTTCGTTAATTTATGGTGAATTTTTTCCCCCCAACTTTTGACAGCTGTCAAAATCTGACAGCTCCATTGTTTCCTATGGGGGAAGAAAAAATTCACAAAAAATTAACGAAGACTCAGCAACTGTTCTAAATGCTTGGGTTCGTTAGAGGACCCCCTAAGTCGTGTGCAAACCTGATTTGGCTTTGATCTGACTTTTCGTTAATTTATGGTGAATTTTTTCCCCCCAACTTTTGACAGCTGTCAAAATCTGACAGCTCCATTGTTTCCTATGGGGGAAGAAAAAATTCACAAAAAATTAACGAAGACTCAGCAACTGTTCTAAATGCTTGGGTTCGTTAGAGGACCCCCTAAGTCGTGTGCAAACCTGATTTGGCTTTGATCTGACTTTTCGTTAATTTATGGTGAATTTTTTCCCCCCAACTTTTGACAGCTGTCAAAATCTGACAGCTCCATTGTTTCCTATGGGGGAAGAAAAAATTCACAAAAAATTAACGAAGACTCAGCAACTGTTCTAAATGCTTGGGTTCGTTAGAGGACCCCCTAAGTCGTGTGCAAACCTGATTTGGCTTTGATCTGATTCACATAACTTTTTTTTTTAACCAATTAAAATCGTTATGCGAGGCACCACTGTATGCACCTATATTTCTTCGTTGGATTATATCAACAGAATTGAGATGTTTAGATGTCTAAAAGCAAGTTTCCCACATCAGACTTTTTGGGAAGACTGCACAACATAGTAATAGGTACAGAAGTACATATAGCAGCGGACAAGGAGAAAAAAGGAAACAACTAAAAGCTACTCTACATACTCAGGTACAGAAGCTTATGCCAATAGTGAGTGTCATTTATGAAATACATAGCTATTGAAATGTTTAGCCACAATGGCCTTTTCCAAATGTATTTTATGTCTTCCTAGCAACTTGTCCAAAGCATCCAAGTTATTCCAGAAAGCAGTGAAAGAAGAGGGCCTGTAGCTAGGGAAAAAAAGTTTTTGATGACAGGAAGTGAACTAGCAGCCAATCAAGGTTAGATTTGTGTGTTCTCTACTCATTAAATCCAAAGAATATGATCAATTGGGAAGCCCAGATAAGGGAAAGCATCTTCCTGATCAGTCACTATCCATAGCTGAACAATCCATTTAAAGGTAACTGAAACAAACTAGTCTAGAAAACCAACTCCAGTTCTGAAATGTTCTCACTCTGAGATACATCAGCAAGTTTTAAAAAAGTGTGCTGCTTATATACCGCCCCATAGTACTTCAAGCACTCTCTGGGCGGTTTACAATTAATTATGCAGGCTACACATTGCCTCCCTAGTGAGCTGGGTACTCATTTTACTGACCTCGGAAGGATAGAAGGCTGAGTCAACCTTGAGCCGGCTACCTGGGATTGAACCCCAGGTCGTGAGCACAGTTTTAGCTGCAGTACAGCAGTTTAACCACTGCGCCACGAGGCTCAGAAGTTTAAGGCATCATTTGAGTAGCCCTCTTGTTCCCTTTGTTTTACCAATATTGAACTGGTCACAGCCTTTCTTGTGTTCAAATAGGCAGCTTTCAATCAGTCAAGAAGGTTCCAGTCTGTACCTCTCAGTTACTCTTTCAGTCAATGAACTTTCCTGTAGACTAAACCTTCATATTCACTAAGCTAGAGTTTCCTGGCTTGGGCTTAAATATGGCACAATCAGCTCCCTAGGCTGCACTTACTCAGTGTTGATTTGAATCGAATCAAATTGGGAAATCACAATTTAAATTTAAAAAAATTATATTTTTGATTATTTAAGTAAAAAAATCAATTTAATTTTTTTTAAAAATCAAATTGATTTTTAGAAAAATCATTGATATTATTCACCCTGTACTCACCCTAAATAGAAAAACAGATAGGAGAATTTCTACAAATAATGAATCATGGCTCTTGTTTCTAGCATTCCTCAATTAAAACCATGGGAGCTCACCATCTTTACTGTCATGTTTTATGAATGTTAAGATTATTTTTAACTCTGAGTGAAGATTTCATTTTTTTCAGGAAAAATATAATCAAGCTTCTCTGTACATTGTTCCAATTTGGACAGCAATACCAGATACTGGAAATGCCTCTGTTTCTCTTTAAGTCTGAGATTTATGAAATGATAAAAAAAAGTCTGTAAGCAGTAGAGGGAAGAAAGTTGTCTCATTGGTACTCACGTGATTGTTTTCATTTCCTTCTTTTCTGCATCTGGCCTGGCACGATTCAGTACTTTGAGGAAGTCTGATGTTTTTGCCCTCATGCGTGTGTGAATGTAAGCCTGAAATTTAAAAACACACATCAGCATGCAGAAATTCAAATTTAATCTATTATTTCTTGGGGTGTTCCAAAAAAAGATGACAGAACTACGTAGAGAAGAATCATGACCTCCGCTCTCTTGCAGAGATATGTAGGGGAGGAATCAAAACCAGACTAGTTTTGGAGTAGTGGCGGCACGATCTAACGTCTCAAATTGTGGAATATCTTGGTGTAGCCTGCACTCAATTTCACCATCTGTCACTATGCATATGCCAACCTTAATGTATGAGTGTTCTGAGGAAAAAATATTTTGTTGTCCTTCTCCCTGGCCTACTAGTCACCTTCTTCTACAACTGTGATGAACCTAGCATGTGAAAAACACACATAACGTGTTTCCCCGAAAATAAGACAGGGTCTTATATTAATATTTGCTCCAAAAATGCAGTAGGGCTTATTTTCAGAGGATTTTTTTTTTCATGTAGAACAATCTACATTTATTCAAATACAGTCATGTCATCTTCTTCCAGTTGCTGCACAATGGTGGAGGGTGGGGTTTCATTTAACTGTGGCTTATTTTTGGGGTAGGGCTTATATTACAAGCATCCTGAAAAATCATACTGGAGTTTATTTTCTAGTTAGATCTTATTTTTGGGGAAACAGGATAAATCCAAATACTGCTTCACAGATATGGTAAGAAAATTTCAGGCACACCAAGGAGGCGTTATACAAACCAGGTCTTCTCCAGGTAGACTGTATTCTTCTCAAACTATAGAAAACTCTCACCCCTAGTAGGAACCAGTAAAATCATCTAATGCAGGGACAAGCAAATTTCTATCTTGGGGGATATACTTTGTTTTTTTATTAGAACCCCAAATTGCAAAAATTAGAGCCTGGTGCAAAATATATATATACTTAAAATAATTCTGATCCCAGGAAATCGTTCTGAGTAACACAGCTGAACTGAACTCAGGTCTTCTGTACTAAGATCCACCCGTTTATCCTAAATGTTCTTCATCTTAACAGTATTATTTAGGATGGGCAGAGAAGAATGATTGTCCTATGGTTATACAGGTGTGAATTAGAATCCTTGTGAATTTACTGGAAATCACTCAAAATCTTTCCTGGGACCCAGCTGTAATACCGGCCCACTGATTTTAATATTATCCTTCCTGTACCTTGGAGCATTTGATATGATAGTGCAGGTAGTCCCGGAACGTGTGGATCAAATTGATGGTGTTGTCCCTGGCAGCAGCATTAGTATGGCGAGGGAACAGTACTGCAAAGAAAAGAGAAAACACTCTCCATGACGTTTATATTATCTAGTCAGACACCTATATGCAAAGCTAATGTTTGCAGTGTTAGTTGTGTACAGGACAGATATAACTGAAACAGTGTTAAATCTGCCAGAATGTACCATGACAACAATGTTTGTGGAACGACATTCTCTCTAACACAAGCGCTGTGTGCTGTCAAAAGTCACTCCTAATTTGTGACAACCCTAATAGGGCTTCTGAGGTATGCAACATGTTCCAAAGAGTGGCTGTCAATTTCCATGGTGTTCTCATGACCAAGTGGGTATCTGAACCCAGGTATCCTGAATCCTGGTCTAACAGTCAATCTAGTACATTGCAGTAACTCTTATAACTATGTGCTGTCAATATGATTACAACTTGGAAAAAGTAGTTTACCAGTATCTTGTGGCACTCTGGAATTGTACAGCTTGTCCAAGGTTGCAGAAGCTAGCCCTTCTTTCAGGACACGCAGAAGAGAATCTAACTCCTTATCCCAGATCTCATACAAGTGGCCATAAGAGAAGCCATGCTAAATCAAACTCAAGGCTTATTTAGTTCAGTATTCTGCTCTTACAGAGGTCAACAGATGCCTATGGGAAGTCCACAAGCAGGAACGTTTTGATAATGCATATAATGGTGATAAGGAGATAAAAAGTCCACAAGCAGGACATGAACACAACAGCACTGTCTTGCACAACAGTACTGGCAAGAAGAAGAATGCTGTCACCATACTAGAAATAGCATATAGCCATCACAATCATTAACCAACGACCAATGTATTCTCCAATTTAGCTAAATCCTTTTTAAGGTAGTGGGATACTATATCCCAGGTTGAACTATGTCGTACGTGAAGTATTTCCCTTTATTTGCCCTCTATCTACCACCACAGTGCTTAGCTATTCTATTCATTGACTACTGGGCCCAGTAACAGTCTGATCATCTGGATCTTTCATGGAGGATCTTCCTGGAACTTTCTTTTCCAGCACTCACCATCGTATTTCCCTCAGGCAGCTAGATAAACCAAACACTGTATCTTATATCCAGAGATGCAATAATACCCTGTATAAAGATGAATTATGCAACTATTCATTATCAAGGAACAGAATTCTCACTAATCTGAAGCCAGGAAATTGTCTTCACAGAGATTTAATTGTGAATATAGCATTTCATATTTATTTGATTTGTAAAAATATTCTGATTAAATGCCTCTTGATTAGTAGATTCTGTTACATTCACTGTCTCCGAGATTCATCACAAACAGTTCTTGGCAAAGACTCTTTTCAATATCATCTCCAAAACGAAGGGCACACTTCAGAGAAGATAACTGCCAAGACAGAATTTCTTATTCTGTTGCCACTCTGGAAAGAGAAAATGTTTTCTAGGGGAAACTCAGATTCATTAGGGCTCCATAGCTGAGAAATGCCAATGATAAACCTGTCCAGGTGTAGCTTCACCTTACTGTTTCAAGGATGGATAACTTCAGTTTGATGACAGGTTGTGCAGAGCGGCTGTTGATTGAGGAAATGGACAGGAGAAACCTGTGCCTTAGAGTAGGGCTTGTATAAAAAAGCTATTAATGTGTTTAAAGACCTAAAGTAGCTGATTTCCATGGATCTTTCCACCAGTTCTAGAATGCTTGAGATGACCTCAAACTTCCAGGCAGATAACACAATGCAGCACTACCACGGAAAAGGATGTCCTGAAATACAATCTCATCACAATCTGATTTTTGTATGGGAAAAATTCATTTCAGCAGTTACAATATTTTATATATGAATGCCCACACAGAATATATTGCAGAATTAAAGCCAGCATTTATTTTTACTGTAAAAATTTCAAATCTTTTCAAATGATGGGAAGAGAGAAGATAAAAGTGATGAATAAAGAGCCCGAAAAACTCACAACAACCAATAAAGCACCTATTCAGCAAAGTCACTCTGGCCATCTGTATGAAAAAAAAATCAGGCAATATGTTACATTCTGTAGCAAGTACTATCTGATGGCTACTTTGGAGCCTTATATAGTCTTCCAAACGAGGAAACAGACAGTAGGTGTCAATGGGCAATTTTCACAATGGAGAGAGGTGAAAAGCGGTGTGCCCCAGGGATCTGTCCTAGGACTGGTGCTTTTAAACCTATTCATAAATGACCTGGAGACAGGATAAGCAGTTAGGTGGCCAAGTTTGCAGATGACACTAAACTTTTCTGGGTGGTGAAGACCAGAATGGATTGTGAAGAGTTCCAGAAGGACCTCTCCAAAGTAGGAGAATGGGCGGCAAAATAGTAAATCTGTTTCAATATAAGAAAATGTACAGTAATGCACATTGAGGCAGAAAAAAAATCAAAACTTTATCAGCTAATGGGTTCTGAGATGTCTGTGACAGATTAGGGAAGAGATCTTGGTGTGCTGGTGAACAGCTCGATGAAAGGGTCAACCCAGAAGGAAGCAGCAGTGAACAAGGCCTATTCCATGCTAGGTATCATTAAAAGGGGGACTGAAAATAAAACAGCCAACATTATAATGCCATTGTACAAAACACTGGTAAGAGTGCACCTGGAGTAGTATTGCGTACAGTTGTGGTCACCGCACCTCTAAAAAGACATAGTGGAACTGGAAAAGGTGCAGAAGTTCTTCTCAGGTTACAAGTCATGATGGGGATGTATAATCTCCAGGCTTAAAAGGAAGGTACTTCAAAATGCCAGATGCAGGGGAGGAGTATCAGGAGACAGGTTTCTAGTTGTCTCCTGTGCTCTCTGAGGCATTTGGTGGGGCCACTGTGAGATAAACTAGATGGGCCCTTGGCCTGATCCAGCAGGGCTCTTCTTATGTAAAGCTCTACATTGGGCTTAGACAGGAAATTAAGAGTTCACGACTTGTATACTATCTTAGGTTTGTTCCATACAGGGCATGGCATTGACTTTATGCAAAGCCTAAAATATGGCACAATTCCTCATGTATACAGATCTCTGCACTCAGCACATAGCACAAATGCACCATTAACTGCATTCACTACTCAAACAGAAAAGTAAAGTCAGATCACAGAACGCTTTCTGTATCTATACAAGGAGCATACAAAAGTGAGTAAGTCACGGCTTTGGCTTTGTGCTCCAATGTAAATAGCATCTACCTGCTAAGGAACTGTATGAATTCCTGCTTTGAAACAGAACCTTTTGGATCCTACCTGTCCTCTGTTACATGAGAAATATTATATAAAGTTATGAAGTTCAGTGATATTCGTAAACCAAATCTTGTGGCTGAGGAGGGGTAACAATTTTTGTCCATAATACAATGTAAGCCTGCAACAATGCATGACAAGGAAGCACAACTGCATGTGTTCAATGGGTACAATTACACAATATTGCCAATTTAATTATCATGCATTGTACAGAACTATACCTACTGTTTTGGCAGATAAGAGACAGACCAAGGATGTGATCAAATGGAGAGAAAGGACTGTGTCTAGTCTCACTGGAAAACAGTCACTTTGCTGAGAGCAATGTCTCTTAAAGCAGCCCTTCTGTCCCTACAGGAATCATTACAGCTTGGTCCAATTAAAGAGCTGTCTTGCTACTGGGCCAGAAAGGTCCAGGTTGGGTGTGGGTAATGGTGGGGATGGTTTGCAATCCCCTGTATGTCGTGTAGTCACCTGTGGTGTAATCACCACAGACTCAACTGTGTCACAAGCAGTCCATCCCTAATCTATATCATAGTCTGCACAGAGGTTTTTGACGAAAAGCAAGATTTGACATTGCTATGTAATTCACAAGTATCAGTCACATAATTTAGTTTAAGGATGATCAAGGATTATCAGAGGGCTGGAAACCAAGCCCTATGAGGAAAGACTAAAAGAACAACACGTTTAGCCTTGAGAAAAAGAAGACTGAAGAAAGATATGATAGCACTTTTCAAATACTTGAAAGGTTGTGATACAGAGGAGGGGCAAGATACGTTCTCAATCATCCCAAAGTGCAGGGCATGTAACAATGGGCTCAAGGTACAAGAAGCCAGACTTTGGTTGAATATCAGGAAAATGTCTTTACTGTTAGAGCAGGACAGCAATGGAACAATTAACCTCAAGAGGTGGTGAGTGCTCCAACACTGGAGGCATACAAGATAAATTTAGACAACTACCTGGCAAATATCCTTTAATTTGTATTACTGCATTGATTGGGACTTGATGGCCTTATAGGACTCTCCCAACTTCATTATTCTGATTCTAAATTAACTTCAGCAAATGGCCCACATATATTCTTATATACTCTTATATATTTCCCGCCTCATATTTCAGGATCAAAGCATTAATTCTCTGGACAGCCAACTTATACAGCACTGAAAATTATATTGCAAACATCCCAACAAAGAGCTATACTTTCCTCAGATGTTAGATGCAGATCACCATGGCTGAAACTCTGTCACTTAGCACAGTACGTTGTACTAGAATAGACACAGTGAACCAGTGGGGAGTTGGTGAGTCAACTCCTCTGTAAGTACTATTGATCCCAATGTGCCTATTCTAGTTGCAACTTATTATACTAAATCACAAACTAGAGTCGGCCCAATTGAATCAATGGAACATATGGAGTTGACTTCTCAAATCTCCACTGATTCAACAGGCATACTCTAGTGCAACTTACTGCACTAAGCAACAGCCCATATTTTCAAATATCATAAAGGATGTAAACACAGCTATCGGCAATAATTACCTTACTGAAATGATTTAGAAATCAGGATTGACTAACCATGAACATTAAGCTGAGAATTTCAGATTCCTGGTTTCATGATTTTGACCTAATGACAGCTGAAATAGCTGAGGAGAGAACAAAATGGCAGATACCTTGCCTCTGTAAACAGGCTTCCTTCAGTCACGAGGCTTAGCTTCCTACAGTCTGGAGACTTAACTTCCTCTAATCACGAGCCTTATAGAACTGACATCAGCTACTGCCATACAAACCAACTGGAACACACCTCATTGGAGGTGGAGCCTGTAGGCTCAGATTCAACAGGGACTCCTACTGTCCGATGTTCTGAGCCCAGAGGCTGAATACTCAAAGCTAAGTTTTCTTAATTTTTGGGTTAGAAAGAGGTGTGCTATAAATGGACAAATACGGTAGCCATAATTGCTTCTAGCTCAACTACATGAACTTAAACCATTTTTCTTTCCTCACAAGCTAAGCAAGATTTATTTAACTACTGAAATAAAAATGTGTATTGCACCCTTGGTCACTGCCACTCCCAGGTTAACAATCATGATTAAAAGGAGCTGAAGTAAAAAATTAAATCCAAAAAGAATGAAACTATAAAATCAGCAGAATTAAAATGAACTCAGTGTTGAACAAAGCCTTAGAAAACAAACAAAACACACTGTGTCTGAAAAGATGCAAGCGTTAGCATTAAATCTTGCCTGGGGAGATAAGTGCATAAATATGGCACCACAACTGAGAAGTCTCTCTCCCTGGTCTCCATATGCCCAAAAGCAAGGTTCTGCAGAAGAAGGGCACCCTTCAGACAGAACTAGTAAAGGTTGTAAAGGTAAGCATTAGCACTTTCGATTGTACTTGGAGACTAAAATCTAATGAAGTTTTCTATAAATGACAAGAGACCATTCCTTCATCTTTATCAGTCTAACACCATATGAAGTCTGAGATGCTTTCAAGACAGCATGTGAATCTGATTCTAAAGCTCACTACATACCCATCCTGAATAGGATGTACCTGCCCCCCTTAATTTAAACCATCTATCAACAGTACTGTTTTGTTTTGTCTAAATGGCTTGGGGCCTGGCTATCTAAGGGGCCATTTCTCTCATTATGAAGCTGTCCAGAAGTCAATATTTTAATATCTAAAAATATCAAAAGATTCAAAGCTTGCCCAACAAACATATGGGAAAGAGCCTTCTCCTGTATGGCTCCAAGAGTATGGAATACCCTACATTCAGAACTGCAATATACTGTATTTCCACTGATTTTCAAGAAGGGAGTAAAAATACATCTTTTTACACTGGTATATGATGTTTAACCTGTCCTACTTTTTTTTTAAACTGTTGATTTTAATAGTTGTAATGCATTTACTTGATTGTAATGATTTTTATGGTGGGGTTAGTTTTGCTTAATTTTACGATTTTATGGCTAAATTTGGTTTTACTTCTTTTCACCTTTTTATAATATTTGAAAGCTGCCTTGAGCAGCTATCTCTTCATGGAAAAGTGGGGCACAGATGTAAGAAATAAAATGAAAATGACAAACTGAGCTACACTTCATTGCCAGTTACCCAGTGTATTACTGATTCTAAACATCAATGTTCCTGTTCAATGTGGAACAGGATAGCTGATCTAGAAGAATACCATATCCAGTGGAGTCATAAGTTGCTGCATGGACCAAGGGCAAGCTGCACCATTCCCTGCTTGATACTAATTCAGCACACTTGTAAATAAGTTTGGGATGGGATTGCAAAGCAGCCATCATTTCAATGCAGAGCCCACCATTTTTGGCAGAGATCTGCACATTCTGTTGGCTCAGGTTTCAGAATCCCTATACAGTGGTGCCTCGCTTAACGATTTTAATTGGTTCCAAAAAAAATCGCTATGTGAAAACATTGTTAAGCGAAACACCATTTCCCATAGAGATGCATTGAAAACCAATTGGAACGGATTGCCATCCTAAAGCGAAAATCCCCATAGGAAAAAACGTTAAGCGAAACCCATTGAAATGCATTGAAGCCTATTTCAATGGGGGGGAAAAAAAGCACAAAAAATTCAAAAAGACTCAGAACAAAGCCAAATTAAGTTAACGAAGGTTTTATTAGGTGCACTAACGATTCCAAGCATTTTAAACATTTTTTAAACATTTTAGAATATTTTAAAAATAGCAAAAACGGGGCTGTAAAAAAAAAAGGTTAAGCAAAACAAGGGGACCTAAAACTGTCATCGTTAAGTGAAGCATGCTCCCAAAATCGTTAAGCGAAAATCGCCCATAGGGAAAATCGTTAAGTGAAGCACAAGATCACTCCAAAAAAGCCATTGTTAAGTGAATTTTTCGTTATACGAAGCAATCGTTAAGCGAGGCACCACTGTACATGCCTTGTGATTCTTCTCAGTGCCATACCCCACCACTGAAAAAGCAATCTATATTGCTGTATGAGTAATTCTGGTCCCTCCCATCTTCTGACTGGATTGCAGAATTAGGGGGATCCAACAAAGCATGCTATGGACTGCATGCCACCCATTATTGCCTTGTTTCTTTCTAAACTACTTAAGCAAGGGACTGTATTGCAAAAAGATAGACTTTCAAGACAAATAGGATTTCTAAGGGGAAAAATAGCTTTCAACTTGCACAGTCACCAGATCTTTACTCAGCTGAGAACAGCACTGCTTACCAAAGGTGATGTATCCAATGTTATCTCCTACTGCTGCATCTGTATCTTTTAGCTCCAAGGGAGGCTCCCTGTGACTGAAGAGCACTTGAGGGGCTGTGTGACTGGCACGGCGACCCTCCTTGAACTCCTGAAGTTAAAAAGAGCACATATTAGGCAAAACCGTGAGAGCAGAAGTTTCCCAGGACTCTGACCTCCATTCTTGTTCTGCAGATTGAGCAGAGACAGCCACTGCACCATCTTGCTTGGTGACTTTAACACAATTTCAGCCTGTGATGTCAGCTGAGGTTGACAGGGTGCTTGATTGCCGCAGGCCCGCCATAACCTCCCTAGTTCATTGCACTCCCTTGCTCATAAAGTGAACAGGCCAGTAACAATGGACTAGACCATGGCCATCATTAATGGGTCTCTCTGTGACAGCACAGTTCTTTGTGCCCTCAAGGAGACACATTAGGCTCATCTATAAAAAAAAACTTGATGGTGGATGATATTAACAACTATAGACTCATCAGCAATGTTGTGTTCTTAAGCAAGCTAGTGGAGAAAATGGTGGCCATTCAACTACAAGCACTCCTGGAGCAGACTGATGCCCTTGATCCATTCTAATCTGGGTTCAGGCTGCATGATGGATGGAGGCAGCACTGGTAGCTCTGCAAGATGACCTGAGGGACACTGACTTGGGCAAAATGTCCTTGTTGGTCTTCCTTGATCTCTCAGCGGCCTTTGATACAGTCAACCATGATATCCTCCTAGGGAGGCTCTCTGAGTTGGGGCTTCGTGGCTTAGCTTTGTTCTGGTTCTAATCTTTCATAGAAGATTGTCCTGAGAGAGTGCAGCTTGAAGAGATGATGTCCACTCCTTGAACTCTCAATTATGAAGTCCCACAGGAGTCGATCATCTTCCCATTACTGTTTAATATCCATATGAAGCCCCTGGGGGAGGGAAATCAGGAATTCTGGTGCTTTGTGTTACCAATATGCAGATGACACCCAGGTCTATCTCTTCTTTCTTCCTTCTGCAGTGGAAGCCATCCCGGTCCTTTGAGCACTGCCCACATGTGATGCTGGGGTGGATGAGGGACAACAGACTACTGCTGAACCCAAACAAGACGGAGATCCTGTGAGTGGGTGCTCGTAGTGTCTACAGGTTGGGGACCTCCCTTTCATTTGTGGGGCTACTCTCTCCACGCAGGAGGAGGTTCACAGTTTGGGCATACTTCAGTACACAGCACTATGGAGTCCCAGGTAGTGTCTGTGGTCTGTGTGGCCTTTTTCCATCTGAGGTGGATCACCCAGCTGCGTTCATGCCTTGACACCAGGTCCCTCACTATGCTGGCCCATAGATCAAACTACTATAATGCTCTTTACATGGGGCTACCCATGAGACTGCTATGGAAACTCCAGCAGGTCCAGAATATGGGGGCCAGGTTGCCGAGTGGAGTGAAGAAATATCAACTGATCTTCCCTACACTAGTTGCCTTGCACTGGTTATCTGACTGTTTCTCTGCCAGCTTCAATGTGATCACCTTGACATACACACCCATAAATGACATGGGACCTCGATACCTGACAGAATGCCTCCTCCTAATGAGAACTGCCTGATCTACTAGAATTTCCCAGGTGGGGCAGTTGAGATTGTTGATCCTGAGAGGGGCCCGGAAAGAATACTAGAAACTGGGCTTTCTTGGCAGTCTCCTCCCGTCTCTGGAACAACCTCCCACCCAAAGTCCACCTGGCTCCTTCATTGAGAACCTTCAAATGATCCCTCAAGGCATGGCTTTTCAGACAGACTTTTCCATAGAATGAATAAATGCATGCATGCATACATACATACATAATTTCTTCTTACAGCTCCTGAACACTGAACAACTCTCCACACAACGTAAGGCTACTTATTTAAGAAGCTACTATTTAGTACAAAGAATGGATAATCATAATAGTTTCCAACTGACATGCTTTGCTTTGGTAGAAGTGTCAAGATAAGGGTCTATCTCCATATCTTTACTCAGAACCTGTCATACACTAAACTGGATTTGATTTTGATGAATGGGAATGAAAACTAGTGGAAGAAACATCAAGAGTTTAAGATACATAGTTATTGTCAGAAAATAGCAATTACTTGAAATAAGGTGAAAGAAGGAAGTGGAAAAGTTAGGTTCCCAGTGGAATGTTAAGATGAAAACAATGTCTACAGAAGAATTAGATAACTTTAATACTGGAAATGAAGAAAGTGAAATAGTCAAGAAAATTGTACTTTGATTTAATCATAGAATTCAAATGGAGGCTGCAGCCAAGAAGTGAGAAAAAGGATAAAACTTGAGAGGGCAATTACGAAGGCTCTAGTAAAGATGAAAGCCAGGAACATCCATACCATGGTATTACTTCTTACTATGTACCATTGTAAAATGTTGGCAATATAGAAAGCTGACTGAATTCACTTGAAATATGTCAGATAATATCTTTATGGATCGTATCATGCAAAAACCAAAAAAAGGGGGAGAGAAAAAGGGAAAAACACTGTGGAACCTTAAGAACTAACTGCTATATTTTAAAGTGAGCTTTTGTAGAGAAGTCCACTTCTTCAGACATGAAGATCCTGTGGACTGCCATAAAGACAAATCAAGTGGCTCTTGATCAAATCAAGTCTGAACAATCACTAGAAATTGCAATGACAACTGAGGTGATACATTTTGGAGATATCAAATACAAGACTCACAAAAAGACAAAAAAACTAGGAAAAGGTGAAGGCAATAAAGGAAGACACCACCTTCAGTCTGCAAGACCTGAGCTGATGGGATCCTTTAGAGGTCATTAATTAACAGGTTCACCATAAGCTGGAGTCAATCTAATGCTGCATAACATATATAATTGTATAAGGAGGTGAACAGTAATTTTACATATAAACAGGTATCTATCCCTCTGCCCTCTGGAGCAGAACAGAAAAGGTGAATAGAGATTAGATGAGGATATAATATCAAAGCTGCTAACACAATTCTAACAGTGTACTTCTGTTCCTTTATTCTAGTCATGTAGATGCAAAATATGCAGGCCAGGTTATTTTTACAATGCCTAGTGATTACAGGCAGAGTACAGGAATCCAGATTACAGGAATCCAAAGTAAGACTGTTACTAAAAGCAAATTAGTTTCTAAAGTTATTAACAGTGTTCATCTGTTTTAAAGGAGGAAAGATTTTCCTTCAAAAGCAACAAATGGCATTCCTGAAATGCCACATTCATAGTATTTTAAAAAGTCTATAGAATCCAAAGTGCAGTACCTGCATAAACACTTTTCCAATCACTACGTCATCATCATCTTTAAATACCGTGCTGAAAACAACTGTAACACGATCTTTCTTTGCTTCAACATACCTAAAAAAGAGTAAAAAAGATCATTTATATGCTTGAAATCATCAGTGTGAAGGAATTTATATGTATATAGAATTTAAATAACAAGGATGATTCACCCACAGTTTAACAGTATGATTCCATTTCCTGGCTTTATAGGCCAGTAAGTTATGTACTTGCTGTAGAGCTAGAGTTTGGGAGTTCAATTCCCACTGCACCTCCAGGGAAAAGAACCAGTCTGTGTGGCCTAGGACAAGCTGCGCACTCCCATGGTGCCCCCAGAAGAAGAGAATGGTGAACCACTTCTGAGTACTCTCTACCTAGAGAACCCTGAAAATGGTCACCGTAAGTCAAAAGTGACTTGACGGCACAAAATTATTCTTATGATTCAATTCACAACACATACTTCATGCAGCTTACTCACAAATCAGCAACCAAAGTCACCTACCTTAAGTTTGTCAAAAACTGTCAATACCATTCACCTATTCTTTGTGCTAGGATCTGACAACATACAACTGTCCTAAGTACAAAACATCCAGCATCTTTTCCTGCACTGAAGAATGTTATACATACAAGTCCCTGTCAATTTCCAAAATACTGCAGCAATGTGGAGATTCCTCCAATCTGTGCACCAAGTTGCTAATGTGAAGGGTGTAATTGAAAGTCATCTGCTTGTGATAGACATCATGCCTCATACATCTCTCAGAAAATTTTCACTCTGAATTCTATCAAAAAACTCCAAAATGAGCAAGAGCTTGATGCAATGGTGCTGTTCATCCCAAGGATTATTACACATTAGTATGAGCACTTGCCCTTTCCTGCATAATGTATTTATAAAAGTGACCCTACAGACACAACCAAGAATCAACCACAAAACTAGGGAACATGCTTCAATCTATATGTAAAAGATATTAAGCACAGCAAACCACGGGACAGTTAGATGTGAAATATTTTAGATGTTTGTAAATGTCAAGGTTGGAAACAAGATTTCAAGAAACAGGAGAAGAAATGTCACCTATTTCTTACATAGTCTCATCATCCCGGTAGTGAATGACAGCTCTCTTCTCTCCATCCTTTCCTTCCTCCTGGAACTTGAAATATTTCTCAAAAACTGAAGCAAAGCAGTTGCGTTTCAGCATGCCTGCCTGGTGCACAATGGAATCTTTGGCAGCAGGAAGGTTCTCCAAGTTATACAGTAAAGAGACATTGTAACCTAGAATAGGTAAACAACATAGTACTTGCAACTGCTTCCTTTTAAAACATGTCTTACTCAGCTTATTTGGCAATAAACTATTGCTTTATGAATTGTTTCTTACTAATGTGACAACAGAAATGCATTCAAATCCAGTGGTACATATACTGAAAGTGTGCTTTTCTCCCCTGCACAAGACAATCCCCTCCCAAATGAGTCTAAACCTGTATTTTCTAATAAATGAGTGGGAAGCAGTACTGTCACAGGTAACCATGGTTTTCCAGAGTTCCTGAGCGCCTGTCAGTTACACAGAACAAAGAATCCCTAAGAAGGGAAGCGGGGGCTTGGCTGGGGGTGGATCCAGAATTACTGCTTATGGTGCTAAGAAATATCGCTCTGTTATTTTCAGCCTTCCATGTGGAACACTAAAGAGGGCTGTGGAGCTTTTTTATATATATATTGCTCTCTATATAGAGAGTTCTGTGACAAGGAGATCCCAACTGGGAGCTGACTTGAAAAGGTACAGAGCATTTTTTTTTAATTCAAAGAAGGGCATAATTATACTGGAACTAGAAGCTGAAAAAGTATCAAGCATAAATTAAGTTGAGGCTTACCAGACTCTGGAGTTACCAAGTAGTTTCCATATACTCTCTTCAACAACTAAGAAAGAGACAAACAAAGAGTACTGTGAGCTTTGATGCATCTTCCCAACTTGTTTTATCACCTTCCAAACTTTCAAATCTGCATTGCTTTTTTTTAAAAAAAGTGATCTTGTACTTTTAATTCAAAGCAGTCTTCCACTCACCTTCTAAACTGAGCCACTTCAATATTTATTTATTTTATTTATTTTTATTTTATTGGATTTCTACCCTGCCCATGTAGACCAAAGGTCATCATCCTTTAGCATACATAGCCAAAGATATACATAGCAAAGGAGTTTTAGTCCAGAACTGCTGGGAAAACAATGGTTTTCCCACTCCTGCCCAAGAGTATAGCTTGCCAGTATCATGGAGTAACAATTTGGGGAACATTTCAGCATTTCAGGTAGAACTGAAATCTTGAGGATTGACTATTGCAGCATATGGGGCTGCCCTTGAAGGTGGTTCAGAAGCTGCAGCAAGTGCAAAATGCAGGGTCAAGCTGGTCACTGATACATCTAAATTTGACCATATTTCACCTGTCCTGGGTCACTTGCATTGGCTACCAGTATGCTTCCAGGCCAAAGTCAAGGTATTGGTGTTAACTTATAAAGCCAGTTATAGTTTAGAACCTTGCCACCTGTCAGAGTGCCTCTCCCTCAGGACATCTTCCCATCCCACCCGCACCTTCCAGTCTTTAATGTTGTGGGTGGTCACTCCAAAAGAGGCCCGGAAGGCATCACCCAGAAACCGGGCCTTTTCAGTAGTGGCTGCTCTACTCGGGAACTCTCTTCTTGTGGAGGTGCAACTGGCCCCACCATCCCAAGCTTCCGCAAGCAAATTAAAACCTGGCTTTTTACCCAGGCCTTCCCAAAACCACCCTTTTGTTAAATTATGCTGGCCTGTTGTCTGCCATCTTATGTCCCAGACTGGGGATTCTATGAGGGGAGGGGAGGGTTTTGTTTGTTGTGTTTTAATATAGTTGACATGTTTTTATATTTTTAGCTGTAGGTTTTATATTTTGTAAGCTGGCCAGAGTAGTGGCATGCTCACTAAATGGGTGGGGTATAAATTTAAATAAATAAATAAATACAGCACAAATGAAAATCTTACGAACTGTGACCCCCTACATACATACACAAAGAGAGAGAGAGAGCAAGAGAGAGAGAGTGTGTGTAGGAAGTGTTACCAGTTTTTGGCTGTTTTCTGTTTTGGAATGTATTTCTAAAGTAAGTGGACTTTAAATAGCAGCTTGAACCCTTCCTATTTTCCAAAAGTAACCCACTACAGAAGAGGGGAGGAAGCAGACTGATGAGTGGTTAACATAGCAGGATCTGTAATGAATCATCTGCTGTAAAACCTGCATGATTTCTGCAACAATGCCTTTTGACTGTACTGTTCCAATACAAGGAATATATGAATGTAACATTGATTTCCAACCTAACATAGCATTTCCCAAAGAATCTTGAAAATATAACCAAGCCTTCCCCACCTGGTTGACAGAACCTAGGTTATTATGTTATTGTAAACACACAATCATCTCACACAAAGGATTCTATGGTGTTTCAGCTACAGGTGCAAACACTTATGCTCACTACTGGAGTCATTAAAACATCAATATGCCTTTCCTGCTGAGCTGTGAAGTTCACACATCTCACTAGTTTGCCACTGTGTGATTTGGTATGAAAGAGGAAAATCATACATCTCACTAGTTTGCCACTGATTGTGTGATTTGGTATGAAAGAGGAAAATCAAGAGCCATAGATCTTGCCAGAATTTGCACATTCAACTCTTGTATATATAGCCAAATGGGTAGCAGATTTCCAAGACAACTGAATTATATGCACAAAGACCCAGAAACTTATGAATGGAGGCTGTATATTGACCTCAAGTCAGATTTTGGTGGAACAGCTACTAAACTCAAGGGAACTAATGAGTCTGGTCCAAGATCAGATAACTGAAACCAGTTCTACTGAGGAATTCTTCAGTTTACTTTTATTCCTCTCCCCACCCCATAGTGGGAGCTATGTCAAACAAGTATAAATTGTCCATGAACTGGAACACTTCTAAAGTACAGCTCACAAGGAATATCTCACGAATGAGTCAGAAACCTCTTCCTCTGCTAATACGTTTCCAAACCATGCACATCCCAATTCTCTCCACACAACGGCTAATATCCTATTGCATGATTTATATCTGTGGAAGGATGATAACATCATGAGCAAGGGATGATTTTTTTTGACAATTAAAAACTTCCTACTTCTATCCAATTGTTTTTCTGACCCCTAAGTAATCCCTTGCACGAAAGCAGTGCAATACAAGGTGGAACTATTTAATTACTGCTATTGCTAGTACAGTGGTGCCTCGCTTAACGATTTTAATTGGTTCCAAAAAATTCATTGCTATGGGAAAATATCGCTAAGTGAAACACGTTTTCCCATAGAGATGCATTGAAAACCGGATACTGTAATCCATTCCAATGGGAACAGATTCCCATCCTTAAGCGAAAATCGCCATAGGAAACATCGCTAAGCGAAACACGGTTCCCCCATTGGAATGCATTGAAACCTTTTCAATGCATTTCAATGGGGGAGAAAAAAATCACCAAAAATTCAAAAAGAGTCAGAACAAAGCCAAATTTGGTTAACAAACCCTTTTTAAACAATTTAACACCTTTTAAAAATAGCAAAAACGGAGCTGTCAAAAACATCGCTAAGCAAAACAGGGGGACCTAAACTGTCATCGCTAAGCAAGGTCCCAAACATCGCTATGTGAAATTCCCCCATTGGAAACATCACTAAACGGAGCGCAAGATCGCTCCTAAAACCTCATCACTAAGCAAATACATCGTTAAACGAGGCAATTACTAAGCGAGGCACCACTGTATTGTCATCAAGTTGTGGTAACTTTCATTAATGAAAGCATTCCTCCTTCTGTCCAACAGGTCCCATGCAATGAAAGGGGTTGATTAGTAGTTGGGGGAAAATGCATTGCAATTGTGTGAAAGGCTCAGCTAATTCTACTATCTTGGTCATGTAAGAACTCTACTACAAGCCATAGGAAATTCCTTACCATTCTCGCTATTGAGGAGAAGAATGCTGACATTCCCTGTTCTTTCCTCCAAGGATGAGGCAAGCAAGAACTGCCATCCCTAATCCCACCTCTGCTCCTACAAAAGCATTATGCTGGTATGCCCCATCTACTTTTACAAATCTCACCATAAAAAAAAACCCAAAGACAACACTTTGGTAAATCATAAGAACTTTCCCTTTCTTGTAACATAAGGCCAGCTCTACACATTGTATGTTCTAGAACTCCCTCATGAACTTTAACCCACATCAGAATTTCTTTTTACTCCTATCTGAATCCTGCCAGGCCGGAAGATGGGCTTAGTGAACGAAGCAATACATTTGTTACATCAGTGCCTCCAACTTTTTACCAGTCAGCCAGCTGGACCAGGGCACATAGGCTGATGTCCTGAGCAGCCATAGAAAAGGGACAAAAAAGAACAGGAGCTGCTCTGTGACGCAAGCAGTTGCTTTGTTAACAGTGGTACCTAACAGCATTCTAGGATAGTAGTGGCAAGCACAGGGACTTGATTTGAAACAGTATCTGTGCTATATTCTTGCACAGGAGCTGACACGTTTGTCCAACATAAATGGCTAAAGAAATTTTACAAAATGTTTCTACATATGCCCCATACTAATTGCAGCATCTGTTCTTCCTAAGCAGTGCAGCATGAACCATGTTTAGTTATGCAACACATGAAAACCATTTCAGGAACTGAGTCACACTTTCTGCTGAGAGATTCAACCACAAGGCACAAAAAGGGCTGTACTTTCTACCATAAATGGCTCTCTGAAAGACCTGCTGCTCAACATGAATAAAACTTGCCATTTCACACACCAGTTGCAGAAGTACAGTGAGTCCTTGCAGTTTGCAAATAAATTAAAGCAGGTATAGAACAAGAGTACATCAGCTTTCAAAGCTTTGCTAGAGCAGCAGTAGCACTTACTGGCTAAAACTGCATCACTCAGTGTAAGAAAACGTGGAACTTTCAGTCCGTTCCTAACCACAGAAGGGACTTTAATTTTATGCATAATAATGGACTGAAAGGAACAAACTTTCTTATGCAAAGCAACATGATTTCAGCAATTGCTTGCCCAGTAATCTTTTCTGAGAAACTCTTCAGGTTTCAGTGGCATAGATCAAATCCTTCAATGGTATCACCCCAGTAAAATAGAGCAACCTGCGTTAGCAGCCTAGATCTAATTTGTACCTGGATATGTGGTAATGCTGAATGCTGGATTTAGTATGTTCCTTCAGAACTAAGTGGCTCTAGTATATTTAGGAGCATTACTAGCACATCACCCTCAAACCTTACTATCAAATTTCAAGTAAAACACCATTATGATGATGTTATGGATCAAATCCTGCTGCTTAGTATAGCAAGTGAACTAACACGCCGAATCTCCATTGAAATTAAAAGACGCCTGCTTCTTGGGAGGAAAGCGATGACAAATCTTGACAGCATCTTAAAAAGCAGAGACATCACCTTGCCAACAAAAGGCCGAATAGTCAAAGCTATGGTTTTTCCTGTCGTGATGTATGGAAGTGAGAGCGGGACCATAAAGAAAGCAGACCGCCGAAGAATTGAAGCCTTTGAATTGTGGTGCTGGAGGAGACTCCTGAGAATCCCCTGGACTGCAAGGAGAACAAACCTATCAATTCTAAAGGAAATCAACCCTGAGTGCTCACTGGAAGGACAGATTCTGAAGCTGAGGCTCCAGGACTTTGGCCATCTAATGAGAAGAAAAGACTCCCTGGAAAAGACCCTGATGTTGGGAAAGTGTGATGGCAAGAGGAGAAGGGGACGACCGAGGATGAGATGGCTGGACAGTGTCTGTGAAGCAACCAACATGAATTTGCCACAACTCCGGGAGGCAGTAGAAGATAGGAGGGCCTGGCGTGCTCTGGTCCATGGGGTCACGAAGAGTCAGACACGACTAAACGACGAGTCTAGTAAGACCTGCTACCCTAAACAACACAATTTCAGCCACAGGAGGCAGTGCTCAGTACCCCACTCCAACTCCAAACAACAGAATATAAACATGTGAAGTACAGTCAAGGAACAGAGTCCAATTACACCTTCGTCTGGAAAGGTTCAGTCAGCTGCATATGAGCAGGGAGAAAGTGCCCTCAGAGATGTGGTTTCAAGCAGTTTATAGTTAAAGGTCATGCCCAGGATTGACATTTAGTAGATAACTAACACTTTCGCTCACATCCATTAAAGAAAATACAGGGCTGAGCTACACCTGAAATAATGTCTAATTCAATTCTGTTCAGTCTGTTATGGGGAATAAGTATTACTGTGTTTCCCCGAAAATAAGACAGGGTCTTATATTAATTTTGCTCCAAAAAACACATTAGGGCTTATTTTCAGGGGATGTTTTATTTTACAGTTATGTCATCTTCCGGTTGCTGCACAATACCACACAATGGTGGAGGGTGGGGTTTCACTACTGCACAATACCGCACAAAGGTGGAGGGTGGGGTTTCACTTAACTAGGGCTTATTTTTGGGGAAACGGTAGATTTTGAAAAACATACTTGGGGAGTTGAATTCTTATTCTATAGCAAACAAAAGCCAAATACATTGGGGCCATAATAAAATACAATAACATAAAAGGTCTGTTTTAGCAAACACAATCAAATAGTGATTTTGTAACTGCTCTCATTACAGAATTAGCTTACAAGGTACAATCTTGTGATTACAATGTGCAGCCATAAAGAGAGTTACTCAAGACAGATGTAGAAGCCTTCAATAAATAATAATAATAAAAAAGCCAGGAGAAAGTACTAAAGTATGTTCCTATTCATTCTTACCTCATCAGCACCATGTTCCTGGAGTTCTTTGTAGAATTTCAGAGAAATGCTGAGCATAACCTTTGTTTTATCACCATTAGGATTGGAAATATGGTAAAGGACTCCATCAAAGTCTACAATGAAAGCATTTGAGAAATGAAAAGTGCTTGCATATTTTCAAACCATTTCTATGTAATCGTGGATGAAGCTGCAAGGTTGTATAAAGTGCAAACACATCTTCATGTAAATTGTTCCTTCTTTGCATACACTGCATTTTGTATATAATTGTACAATATATGTAATATACATTTCCCCTAACATGTGCATTCTTGTATATAATAACCAATGATATAATATTAAGCTCTTTTCCTAATATGCATTTTGTATGAATAAATACCTTAACAGGGAACTACACAGATAAGTACAAGACGTATAAATAAGGAATAGCTACATTTCAGCTTCTGCACTAGTTTGGGAAATCTGAATTATTAGGATTGCATTAAAATGTGAATCAAAACAAGACAGAATGAACTCACAAAATGTGAATCCCCAGCCAAAATTATGTTACAATATCTCAGAGGAGAGTTGGGCTTACAAGTCTCTGCTGGAACCAAGCTGCCTCGAGAAGAGTAAAATTTCAAAGAGGAAGTACTACCATGTTTCCCCAAAAATAAGACAGGGTCTTATATTAATTTTTGCCCCCAAAATACAGTAGGGCTTATTTTAAGAGGATGTTTTATTTTTTCCATGTACAACAATCTACATTTATTCAAATACAGTCATGTCATCTTCTTCTGGTGGCTGCACAACAGTGGAGGGTGGGGTTTCACTTAACTAGGGCTTATTTTGGTGGTAGGGCTTATATTACGAGCATCCTGAAAAATCATACTAGGACTTATTTTCAGGTTAAGTCTTATTTTCGGGGAAACAGGGTATCTAATGCTTACCTGAGTTAACAGAAAACTTTTGCAGTGGCCAGTCCCTTTAAGTTACTGAAGGAATGAAACACAATATTGAGTGCCAATGCTTCAGTAACAGTCCGTGGCAAAACTAGTATTCATATTCAGCCCCACTAGCAAAAGTTATTTATTTATTTATTTATTTAATTTATATGCCGCCCCCACTACCCAGAGGTCTTTGGGCGGCTTACAATAATTTGGCCTACTGCCATCATTAATTCATCAACTAAAAGAGGATGGCCAATGGCTATCTCATCTTCACACACTAAAATATCTAGATAGGGTTTCATTTGGTGCAATTACTGTGACTGTAGATGCAGGAAGATGACTGTGCTAACTGATACTAACATTCTGTAATGAAATGCAAGGCTTTCCATTTTGTTTTACTCTCAGTTTACTATCCAAAAACATTTAAAACAGTAAAACCTACCTGCAAATGTTACTTCTACAGCCTCAGGCTTGTTTCTGCGGGATGAGGGAGAAAAACCCAGCAGTTAGAATTAGATGGAAGCCACTGGCTTGCTTCTGACACCTAAAGTGACCAGATTTTATATTTACTGCTGCCTGAATTTCTGCATGTGATTGTATTTTATCATGTGTGCAATTGGAACCAACCAGCAAAACAGCTGGTGATACTTCCTTTATCAAAGTGTAATTAATCTTGAAGTAGAAGAAACCTTTTCCATGCATTAACTCCCCAATCTTCCTCCACTCTAACAGGGGAAAGGCTGAAGTTAGATTTTTGCCCCAAGGCTATCAAGCTGTATCAAGTACCTATTCAGCAGGGTGGATAAAAATCAATTTAAATCGGTGGTTCTTAACCTTTGTTACTCAGATGTTTTTGAACTGCAAGTCCCAGAAACCCCAGCCAGCACAGTTGGTGGTGAAGGCTTCTGGGAGTTGCAGTCCAAAACTCCTGAGTAACCCAAGGTTAAGAACCAGTGATTTAAATTATGATTTAAATCAAAATATCATTTTTAAACATTTAAATTATAATTTTTTTATTTTTAAACATTTGAATCATGATTTGATTTAAATTTAAATCAATTTGATTTAAATCAAATACACCCTGCTATTCAGTACCAGAGACAACTTGAAAGAAGTTCTGTCTTTTAGCAAAAGACAAACTTCTGGACTACATCCTTTGTTTCAATATTGTGGCAGCTGTGGAGGAAGGAAACATGCAGAATTTTAATACTAAGTTCTTATGAAATGAAACAGAGCTCTCATGGGTTTCAAGACATAACTGAATATGGCACTGATGGGATTTGCTGTAGTTATACTACGGGTTTATTCAAAGTATTTTCCTCCTAATCAAACAACACAAAGGTTGATTTGAAATTGTCTGGCCCTTTTTGCTCCCAACACACCTTTTTTCCCTTTGCTGCTGGGGGCTTTTACTGTTTTCAAGCTGGAATGATGTGAATGGACCACATGCTTAGCTAACTCATTCTTGTAAAGATAGGGAGGTGTCTGTGGATGGTGCTTCAGTGATGTAGGCAGTAGGGGTGTAATGCCCAAGAATATCCATCCCTGCATTATTTCACCTTGATAACCCTTGATTTTTAAAAAGATTTATGAGATTAGTAGTAAAAATCAATTTATTACTAGTGTTGATATATTAGTTCAGTGCTAGATCTCTAGATGAGAAAAAAAATAAATTACAAACAAAACAGAAGCCCAGAAGAAATAAAAGATGTTCCTGTGGTATGTGGTATTTCTCTGCAACTTTGGAACACTGCCACCTTTTCTGGAACACTGCATATCCTTTTCAAAATCAAGCAGCTTGACAGTGAAAGGATTAGCAGAGGTGGCACCAAAAGAAGGAAATGGAGGCTGTCTACTGAAATTTGAATCGCACTGCATTGAGTGTGAACACTGAACTCCCGAATCAAACTAAAATCCATGTATGATCTATTAACTGCTTGAAGCCTGTGGGCTTTTCAGCAGCTTAAGATACACTACATGATTAGATTTGCAAAAAGTAGCTCTATTAGTCTGTCTCAGCATGCTGTCAAGAGAAATGGGAAAAAACCAAAATATTATAGCACTTCAAAGATTAATGGTGTGATCTTTTCCAGATCAAAACCAAGTTCCTCAGACACAAGAGCGCAAATACCTGCCCTGTATATGTATACATATTATCATGACATGGGAAGATACAGATACAGACTAAGGGACAATGACACAGTTAACACAGGAATGGGACTATCAAAATTTTATTTACAATGGTCAGCTGTAGATCAGATGGATTTAGCTGTCATAGGAATGATAATAATTGCTTCCAAGCAAAGTGGTCAGTGTCTGTTGAGGAAAACTGCTTTATACTGACAAAATATTACAGAAGGTTGAGTCATTAGAGTTGGAAATGCACTTTGAGATGTACTAGGGCTTCTACAAGATTAGATTGAATAATGAAGGGCATGAATGAGAGGTAAGCAGAATAAGTGCAAATATAGCATCTTACATCTGAAAATATTTCCAGCTACCTGAAAGCACTCTTTTAAATCCATGCCTACCAGGTGAAGCTTGAGGCACTGGAATCCGGCTACTTCAGGACCTGCATTTCAACTTTCTGCACTAAATACGATGCAAGGCCAACATGCTTTCAAATTGATCTCTATTCCCTGGTTATCAACACACACCAGAAGATGAATTCCATTTGTAAATACATGTCATCATCATGCAGCTAAGTATGATTGGAAGTTTGGGACAGAGATAGCAAAGGTGTCTCAAGGGCTGCCTTTGATTCCTTCTGAGGAAAAGGCAGACTCTTCACCCACACACTATTAGTTCTCAGTCAGCAGAACACAGAATCAAACCCCCCCGTCGTTCTTTCCTGAACGTTCACTCACCAAATTTCCTTCTAATGCAGAGGTTATGTGAACAAAAAGTGTGCCTACGCAATGAAGGCAGCAGAATTCGCTATCTTCAAATACTCTAGTATTTTTTTCTGTGCTCATGATAAAAGAAACATGTAACAGAAGGCAAACTAGTTTAAGCTATATATGAAGTAGTGTTATGGCATTTATGAAGGAACAGAAAAAAAAGCAAAGTGAAGAAGAAATTACAAATGCAGGTATACGAGGACAGAGATAAGCCAAGGACTGGAAAGTTCAAAAACCTCCTCTGCCTGAAACAGTGAGATATTCCAGTCTTCTTGCTTTCACGACTGCAGTGGATATTGTCCACATATTTCTAAACTACTCTGCTATCAACTCCTAAGTACCAACCTAAGTCGTGTGAGCTGGCTGGATAGCTCAGTGATATAAGTATCTGGTTGTGGAGCAAGCGGTTGGGAGTTCCATTCCCCACTGTGCATCCCACAAATCTGAGTCTGTATGGTCTTGGGCAAGCTGCAAAGTCCCAGGATGTCCACAAAAGAAGAGAATAGTAAATCACTTCTGAGTATTCTCTACCTGAGAAACCCTGGAAAAGGTCACCATAAGTCAGAATTGACTTGATAGCACGTAATTGCTATTATTAATGTGGAAGAAGCAGGACTGAGGAGGAATTCATAAGAGGAAGTAAGGCTTGTTACTCTTATAATCTTCTGCAGCTTCTTCAAGCTGCTTCTAGTTAAAGAGGGCAGAAACACTTAGGCACAGAAGAAAGTGTTCTTGTTTGCATTCCATCCTGCCTACACCTCTTTCCTTTCCTTTTTCAGGCTAAGAGATGGCATACAACAGGGAACATACTTTTGCTCTTTGGGTCTTTTTAAAAGGCTTTATAGTTATCCATTGTGATTTTGTCATAGAGGTCCTGATAGTCTGCTGGGAGTGGCCAGATTCACTCTAGTGATCGCCAGCTGCTACCTTCTTAACTAGCCATTAGTTTACCCAATCCAGGTGGGTTAAGTGACTCACTTATTACTTTTCCACAAAAGATTCTATTTTTGTTAGATGGAAATACTGCCAGCACATCATCTTATATTTTATATTCAAGTACTTATTTATAGTCATAACAGTTAAATCAGGAACAAGTTTCTATTGCCTGAAAATCAATTCCATATTTATGTGGTGTAACTCTGAAGTAGGCTCAGCTTTCAGTAGCTACTGTGTTTCCCTGAAAATAAGACAGGATCTTATATTAATTTCTGCTCCAAAAATGCATTAGGGCTTATTTTCAGGGGGTGTTTTATTTTTTCCGTGTACAACCATCTACATTTATTCAAATATAGTCATGTCATCTTCTGGTTGTTGTACAATGGTGAAGGGCAGGGTTTTACTTAACTAGGGCTTATTTTTCGGCTTATATTACAAGCATCCTGAAAAATCATATTAAGGCTTATTTTCAGGTTAGGTCTTATTTTTGGAGAAACGGGGTACATGTTCTGATCTGTATTAAGCATTTCACTGTACCTCTAATGAACTATTATTCAGCTAAAACTCACCTATGATCATTAGATCACTTATATCTCATAACTGCAACTTCACTGCTCACATAATATGCAGTCACTTTCTAAAAAGTTATCTCAACTTGCATTTTGCATTTATCAGCTGATAACAGCTAGTACTAGGGAAAATCATTATTATTATCACTCTTATTCTTCTTTCTGAAGACAGGAAATATCTATCTATTTAAGGGCTTCACATACTGTATCTATCTTTGAATCTTCCAATTTGGTAATCATAACATGGGTGGAAAAAGTTACTCTTTGGATAAACTCCCAAAGTAACCCCAAGCATGGCCACAAGCTAGGCTGTTTCTTGAAGCTGCAATCTAAACACAGCAAGTACAGGAGGTTTATCACTTATTTTCCAAACATGTTTTGTCTACTTTCTCCCCTTCATTTTATTTCTGTTTAATACCATTAGATAAAGATTTGAGCTTCATCAATGTATCTATGCAGGATAGAATGCTTAACATGTGCCACTACAGTGCACAAGATAAAACCAGAAGGCCATGAGAGACATTAAAGGACAAAATAGAAATCAGAAATCTTGATCCCACTAATCTAATCAAGATTTCTTACTTGACCTGTTCTGTGATCCAGGTAGGTAGCAATAAGTTGCTTGCATAAAATCCATATACCAAAAAATTCTGGATGGCATGTAAATGATAAAATTTCACAGAACCAAAACAAGGCATTTGTAATTTCAGACAATCATATGATGCCATTCGGGAGGGTGAACCATTAGCAAGATGTATAGTAGAAAAAAGCAAAAATCTTGCACACAATCCAAAGGCGAAGGTATGCAACACTTTTATTAAACCTCCAAAAAAACCTCTGTTTTCAATGTGTAGGTGGTCTGATAAAGATATCACCTATCCGTGCCTTTGGAAGACCTACACTGTTCATTTTTATATGAAATCTACTTTATTCCACTGATGATATGCTGGGTCCACTTGCTTCTCCCTGGGCTTTCTTTACAATCCATATGATTTCAAGTAGCTAGACTATCGAAGACAGCTGAACACATCTTCAATATCCTTCAGTAATATTTCTCCTATATCAGTTAAGA